AGTATCACTTAGCACTAGCACAAGTCAACCAAACAGGCACACGCATGACTTAACAGTGGAAGATGGCGATATTTTAATAACAATTATAGTCCAGCGTTTCAGTGCCAGTTTCGCATTCGCACGACAAGAATGAAATAAACGCTACGACCCAGCACAAAAATTTTGACATACTAATAGTCGGTCGAAAAACCGCTTAAAACAATTTGTTTGATTCAATGAACACTCCATAATTAGTAGTAGTTACTCATACATAAACCTCCCACCCCTCCCTGCGTACTGATAGTTCGTCCTCTACCCCTCCCTCATTAACAAGTCTGCCTACCATCCCTCCCTGAATGCTGATAGACTGCATCCCACCTACCCCTAAGTGTTAATGGTCAGCCTCCCCCCCGAAAAAATGGTCCAAAAGAAAAGGTAAAAAAATGGTCCAGTCCATATTTTACCCTCTGCCTAGGGGCGTAGGGTAAAATATGGACTATTTTTTTATAGGGGGGGAGGCAGAACATTACTTCTTAGGGATGGGTGGGATGCAGTCTCTCAGTACTCAGGGAGAGATGGTAGGAAGACTGCGTTGCTACTATAGGAGAAAGAAGTACTAGTACGCAGGGAGGGGTGGGAAGTTGATATACTGGTAACTGCTACTGATTTATGGAGTGTTCATTGAATCATACAAATTATTTTGAGCGGCTTTTCGACTGATTATTTGTATGTCAAAATTTTACGCTGGGCCGTAGCGTTTCTTTAATCTTTCGTCATGCGAATGCGAAACTGGCACTTAAACACTGGACTATAATTGTGATTGAAAATATCACCAATTCCATTCCTGTTTTCGATCCTCCACTATCAAGATATGCGTTGTGCCTGTTAGGTCGACTTGTGCCAGCGCGAAGTGATACCGACGGGTTAGCATGAATCATCTTTCAGTTGCCTCACTTTTCCCTTTTTGTATGTGACAAGAAAAGCGAAGGAAAGATCGATGTCTTTATAATGATTTCACAACATGGGGTGTAATTAATCCAGCTGTCAATGAAACTCTCCTGACATATCCAAGCTCCAGACAATAAAATTTTCCGGGCAGAATCGGTCACATTTACTGACTTCTACTTTTTTCCGACGGAAAATATCGGCAAGCAACAGTAGCCACCGTACTTCCACTTGGCAGGTTTCGTAGATTTCTAAGCAAGAAGTGATTGGCAGCGGCCCGGACAAATTGGAAAACAAACGTACGGGAGTCGCGAGGAATACCTCGTCGCCATTTCCGGTGTGGGTGATTAACTCCTTTGTTTGCGAAACAAAAAGTGGCACACGAGGCGCAGCCGAGTGTGTCACTGGTGTTCTTACCACATTTTGACGTCGTCTGTGATCTATTACTGAACAGATGCACGGCAACTTGGAATCTATTTGTTTTATATAATAAAGAATTGAAAAAAAGTTTTTATGATGACGTCATCTATACGTCTGTCCTCCAATAGATCATAAGGGAGACCCAATCAGAATGCGTGCATAACTGAGCTTATTATATAACTACCGTTGTTCAATAGATTACATAGAGTATATGCAGTTTGGTTTCGAATTTCAGATTTTGCTTTTTACAACTGTACGTTTTTCAATTAAGACATTAGCATACTTGGCATACAAGGCATACAAGGCATACAAGTCATTCGAGGCTTTCATGACTTTCAAGCGTTCGCGACTCAATCCGTTCCAAAATTACCGCTCAATAACATCTTTTAGTGTGGATTGGCCGCGAACAATACGACTTGTGTATGCGTCTGTAAGTATTTTGAGCGTTTGCGCCATAATGCTCCAGGTGATCGTAATCCAAACACGTTGAAATACAAAACGACTGACAAAAGAGTTTTATGACCAAAAATCTCGTGGTTTCTCATGTGACCCGGCCCTGTCCATGCATGACAACGTCAATTATCATCAAGATAACACGCGTGATCAGCATGTGAACACCTCATTGGATCACAGTTAGTTGTCATGGTGTTGAGGGCCCAATGACCACCGGGTACTATTGCGCAATTTTTCCATTTTGTGGCGGAGGAAAAAAAAAGGAATTTTATGACTAGGCTACCACAGGTATCTCAGTAAATAGCAAATCTCCATGTTAGCATTAAGATGAGACGCTTATAAAACAGATCAGTTAGTTAAATCAGTATGTAGCTTGTCAATAAAATTGACTACTGTAACCATACTTTGACTTCAGCCGGCAAAGGAATCATTGATGGATCTGGACATTTTGGTTCTCTGAATGCAGTAATTCCTGAAAGGTTTTTCAAGATGTCATGCAGAGAGGAAAAAAACACCCATCTCTCGGTATTTCAGAGGTTGATTCGTCTTTGAATTTCTGTGTCACGCTTGTCACGCAACTGATATAATAAGTTGGAGAAGATATATAAACTGGAATTCAAATCTGGCTAGAATGTGGTAGAGCATAATTAACGTGATCATCGAAACAGCTAATAAAATCATAAATAAGCAAGGTAAGAGTATTATGTTAGATTTTTTTGGAAATTGTAGTGATTTATGCCAGTTAACGGTGGCGACAAGTAGCACCATGTATATTTCATAGTCGCTATCAAGTAAATTTTGCCGGACTTTGAGTTCGTCTCAAGATAGAACAACACAAATACACAAGGAAATTTTTACAGTATCTTTGTAACCATCCTTTGGTCTTATAAAAGCTTGAAGCTCAGTAGATTCTGTCACATCGGTCATTGTTAAAACTGTCTTTGTTTTGAAGCTACTTTTCGACATAGGAAAAGTATGTCGGACAAAAATATTTACCAAAACATAAATATTTATTTGCCAGCTTCAATAACGACAGAGGATTAAGTTAAGATGATAAAACAAAGGATTATGTTAACAAAATTACCGTAGGTCTAGTACATTCGTTACATGAGGTCACACAACTCGTATAATATTCACGGTGAATATTTGCATATTTGAGAGATCGAACGAAAAAAATTATTTCTCGAAAACTAAAATAAATTTTTACAAAAAAAACTACACCACAATTATTAGAACATATTGGACTACAAAATATGAAAGTAGGGGAGAAAACAAATTTGGGTGACTTGCCGTTGTTTGTTTGATGCATGCTGACATTAGCTCTTAAGGTACTTTCAATGTATGTCCTTTGCATGTACAGTCTGTCGTCCATAAAATCAAGAACTGTATCCTACTATAAACCCTACTATAAAATCAAGAATTCAAATTGAAACTGCATTCATAATTCTCAGTTCTAAATGTACTTGTAGGGTGTACTCTGTACTCTAATTCTAATTCAAAACCAACATATAAATACTACTGTTTTTCATACATTATTTATACCAAATTTAGAGATTTTTATGGTACATACATGTTTAAGTTCACCACTTTTGAGAGTCATGTCTTTTATCTTTTCCTGAAGATCTTTAAGGTTCAAGGTTTATTTTTCACTTTTTAAAATAAGAACCTGTTTCAAATTGAGGCTAAAGAGGTTCTTATGTAAAGGGGGTCTAAATTGATATTTTTAGGCGAACAGGTTCTTAAACTCTAGGTTCTTATCAGCGGGTAAGTACTGTATTTCGGATAGGTGGGTGTCTCGGAGTTCCCTATTTAAGAATGCCAAAAAAAATTAATACCGTCGTTAAGGCCCAAACCCCCCAAAAAGACGCCCTATTCTAGGTAAAATAACAATAATAAAAAACAAACAAATAACGGCTGACCTCGCACTGGAAAAAGAAGTCTTCATGAAATCACTTTGCTTATGAGTTTAACCGCCTAGTTCAGTTTTAAAAGATCATTTTCTTTTCGTTTAGCTGAGCATTTACACACTGCAATTTTTGCTGATACAATTTAGGTGGATCTCATTACCGACATAAACTGGACAGTTAATATCGGTAACTTTGTACAAGGAATATAACGTTGAGGTCCTGTTAGAGCGATACTTGACCGATACCCGTCAGTCGGTCGATATAGGCCACCTATAGTACACATGATCCATAGGTTTTTCGCACCCAGCGAAAATCGATCGATGTAAAGACTCATCTCAGTTTAGTGTTCCACGCATCATAAAAGCGCACACGAACCGACTCTTTGCCAAAATATAAATATCAAATTAACCAGGTCTCATTGACAAAGAACGCACTTTCTTTCGGTTTAAATTACTATTTGTGGAAAAAGGAAAAAAACAAAGAAAAGATGTAAATCACGAGCCGGTAGAGAGTGATTTACTACCTTTTAAGCAGGTAAACAGATAGCAAGTTTGGTCCATCGCTGTAAACAGATAAATAGCGGTCCAGGTCCAGCTCCTTGACCTCAATAAAAGATGTAAGACTAATCTCAGTTACGTGTCATTATCAAAGCGCACAAATATCAAATATCAAATTAACCAGGTCTCATTAACAAAAAACGCACTTTCTTTCGGTTTAAATTACCACTTGTGGAAAAAGGAAAATAAAAAAAGAAAAGCTGTAAATCACGAGCCGGAAGAGAGTGGTTTACAATCTTTTACGCAGGTAAACAGATAGCAAGTTTGGTCCATCGCTATAAATAGATTAATAGTGGTCCAGCTCCAGCTCAATATTTCTCCTTGACCTCAGTGACAGAAGTGAAATTTATGTATTATAGTTTTCTTTCCATGTGACCGCTTTCTATTTCCTAACCAGTTCCGGCGGTCGATTGATGTTTTGATTGACCTATTTTTTGACATAATGATCACGCGGATCTTAAATCCTCTCGAGGCGAGGCCATATACAACTATGCCAAGTGCATGCAAGGTTCATTGAGTAAATCACTTCTACTTGGCTCCTTTTACGAGCAGAAGCTCCATCTATTGCCTTGGATAGACGATTTCAGTCAGAGATTTACAGTTTAGTACAATGTCAGTTATTGAGATCGTGAGCCTCGCCTGTCTCTTTATTTTGTTCTTAATAATGTTTATCGTCATCAAGAACCACCTAGTCTTGATGCAGTTGTGGCAGCAACGAGCGGAACGGGACAGTACCATGATGTATGTACAAGACAGAGCGAGCCCGACACCTGATACGCCTCTACAGCCTAGAGTGGGTGAGATGGCTCCCATAGGGATGCATGTTATACCGCATCAGAGAGGTGTTCAGGAGTCAGAGGGAAACTACATCGGGACAGCGGTCGGTATACAGCGTATGGCTGTGGAGCCAAGTACATTTTTCCATCAAAGAATTGCAAATCGCCCACTTCCTCGTGAAAACGATGAATAACTCATTTTAAAAAGGGTAAGAGAAATTACTCAATCAGTCTTACACTTTTTTTTTTCCAATTTCCTGTGCTGCTCTTTCAAGCTACTCCTATGGCCAGTTTTCTAGATGTTGAAATATTCATTTCATCGCTCGATAAGATATTTACATTTTCAGTCACTGCTTTGAATATACGCAGTCGAAAGCAAGCAGAAATAAACAACACACAAAAAGGCAGAGAGATCATGCAATCATTCTAATTGCACATTTTTATCCCAACAGCTCTTTTTTAAAGGTGACTTTTTTACATCAAGTATTCGTTTTTAACATTGATCATGTCAGAGAGGGTAAAGGAATTTACTGACATCAGCAAATACAAGATTTGAGTGCGCGTGATGGCTGCTCCCATTGTTATCCAATGATGTCAATCAGGGTCTCTAGTACATCTCAGTTTATATTCTTTGAGTTTTCCATATATTTCCATAGTCTTTAAATTGTTGTAGATACCTGTAATGTATCCATTAAACTTTATTTCACGAAAACGCCGGTCTTATTGTTTCAAAAATTATAATTGGTCGGAGTAAGTAAAAGTGTCGATATCGCTGTTTTCAGTTTACATAGATCTCTATAGTCTTCTATAATTATTGCGGGTTGCTTGATCTTATTGTGAGTCCCATCTATTGCCCCAAGGCATTGTAGAATAACATGAGCATTTTCAAATTGAGTCACCGATTCCTTCGTTTCATTCTCTGTGAAAGGAAGTTTTATGACATTCATCTTGTCAGAGAGGAGAAAGAAATATACTGACATTAACAAATAAGATAATTGAGTGCGCGTGGCTGCTCACATTGTTATCCAGTCATGTCAATCGAGGTCTCAAGAACACTCAGTGTTGATTGTATTCTAGTTCTTCATATATTTCCATAATCATTAAATTATTTAAGATATCTGTAATTTATCCATTAAACTTAATTTTACGAAACTGCAGGTCTTATTCATTGTTTCAAAATTTATAATATGATAATTTAATACGATTTGTTTTGGTTAGGCTATGCTGCTAGAATTGTGTTCTAAAACTTCACTTTTGGAACACGAGAAGCATAGCATAACATTTTGTGACAAATCTAAAAAAAAAAGGGTATGCTCCGTATAAAGTTAAGTGACAGGAGTAGCAGCCTTTCAGTTATTTTACATGTAAGTGCCTTTAAATACGTTAGTCAGCTTTCCAGTTTATGTCGCTTTCTGGCCCGGGATTTTTTTTAGCTACTCTTTTTATCTTAATTTTTAAAGAACAGATGGCCAAAGTAAGCCAATAGCGGGTTAAGCATCATTCTTGTCAACCGAGGGCAATGCTTACAATGCATAGAGCTGTAACTAAACTTGTGAGGCGAATCTAATTGTAAACTGTATAATTATCAGGCACGCCAATATTACCATAAGGAACTTAACGAAGATGAGCAACACCTAGATGGTATAAATAATAAATTGTTACGGAGAAATTAAAAATTTAAATGTTGATTATTCAGTTAATTAATTATTCAGGAACCTGCTTTGTTGACGGTTCAGACAGATTGGCAGTTTAAAAGAAGTGGGCCTGTTTTTCATATTCCTCAACACGCATTTGATTGCATGACGGTTGGAGGCCTTCCTTGTAGTCCACGTAACAAACGTGTCCTGACAAACCCCAAAAGGCATACATGACTTGATGTGACGTACTCGTTAATCTGTGCATGCCTCAACGAGCGGAGCCCGCGGTGTTTGTGTTATTTCGCACTATCCAGATAGGGAATGTGAAATCATTAAAAAGGTGGTATCAACCAAGTTTAAAGGCATTGATCCAAATTCAGGCAACCTGTTGACAGTGGAAGGAGAAGCGGTTTTGTTTGCGTGGTTTTGCTTTACTTCGAGTTATGTGAATCTGCAACAGGTAATATTTCTACCCAAAGCTCTCTTTCCAGACTGATAGTACGGCAAATTCTGAGGCGATGCCAACTAGTGAGCACTGCGATCTGTTCCCGGATAGTCCGGACTCATCTTCGAGTTTGAATGTGGATAGGCAGGAGACAAAAACAAGAGGTCTTCATTTATTCCCTTCGGCATAGAAGGAACTCTTTCACCTTTCAAATGATAAGTTATTTAAGAATTAGCAAACAGCCTTGCATCATGTACACCTCCAGGCCATTTTATAAACTGATAACGGTAGTCACACACTGCTTGGACATTTAAACTATAACGCTGTTTTCGGTTTATATAGATCTCTATTGTATGTTGTATTCATTGCATGTCGTTTGATCTCAATGTGAGTCCCATCTATTGCCCCAAGACTTTGTGGAATAATGGATGAGTTTTTTCAAATATTAAGTCACCAGTACCTTCACTTTATTCTCTGAGAAAGGAAGTATTTGTTCACTGGGCGCAGATGCTAAATTTTGGCAGTGCATACCACTGGCGGATTTTATGCCAGAGCCGGTAGAGCAAGTGATAAAAAAACGGGCTTCCCCTTTGCTCAAGGTCTGGATGCACTACTGCATATCTCCCTTACAATTTCAGAGACAACTTGCCAACTTGCTCATCGTGGCGTTGAAAAATTGCTTCGCTGGCAGCTCAAAAAGATCATCGGCAGAGTCATCGGTATTACTATCATTTCAGATTCAATAGTTGGACTGTACCCTTGCTATATACCTAAGTCCATGAATTGGCAACGAATCACCAGTACTACATTCATTAATTAAACGCAAATTCTTGTGCTTGAAATGAAGTATCTTTCAACTGGCTTTGTTTCGCATTTTCTCTTTCCTTTCGGCATTGAAGTTGATGATCTATCAGCTTGTCCGACGGACACAGTTCCTCGCATGTTTCACATGGTAAAGCGATGAAATGCTTTCGCTTTCGTGCGCCAATTTTTTCCGCTTTGGTCGGCGCTTGAGGCCGCCTGATCGCTTGACCTCCCGTCTGTTTTGACGAAAGCTTTTCGCCCGTCATTCATTCTTGTTTCTAAGAGATCAATTACGTGACTTGATCATTTTAGAACGGAAATCTCGCTGTTGTAATTGGTGGAAACGCTCCATCAATATCTTCCGCCGCTACAACTGATCTTTTAGCGATTAAACTTCTGATCCGCTTTTCTTTGTCAGTCATTTCAGGTCTTCTAATGTATTAGTTATATTCCTTTTTCAAATGTACACGAGGCTCGGATTTCTTTGTGAAATAATATGTATTGCTCTTCTTGTAAACTGGTCAAATCTCTCTCTTATCCCTAAACCCCATCTAAATCAAATGCTGAAATTTTCCTACAATAAGAGTTGTTTATTTTAGATCGTTAGATGACTTCGTCAGTTGTCTGCGGTAAAGTCAAATTTGGCAACTGCATTGACCTCTTCGCATTTTTATGCTTCCTGCATTACAGTATAAATGTCGCTCACCACTTTGAGAAGTAATATTCCGGTTTTTTATTTTTAAATAAACGTTGTGGAAGTAAAATACACGAACGTGGGCGGCATTTCGGGGGAGCTAAACAAGTTCTCCTTCGTCACGATTTTTACCATAACGAAGGTAAATACAAATTGATATTTTCAAGAGAGGAAGCACCAGATTGTCTGTATTTCTTGCATTTTTGATTGAAATATATTTTTATATATGAAACAGTCTGATTCATCTAATTTTTCACGTTCCAACCTTATTTCGGTCTTTTCTACCGAGCACCATTTTCGGCGATCGTTCGGTGAAGAACAAATCAGGCACGTGGAAAATTTCTCTTCTCCGTCGGTGCAGTTTTCCGGGATGAAATCTAACAGTTATTTTCGTGTCATATGTCGGTATTTGTAGGGCGTTCCTTGACGAAAACACACTAGTAAATCACTGATTCATTGGGAGTACTAATATTCTACCTGTCTGTGCGTGGGAGTTGGTGTTGTAGATATCTTGGTTGAGAAATGCGTGGAACGTGGCTCTCATGGAATCATAAACCAATCAACTTGCGTTCATTTAGGCGCGTAGCAAAACACCCTGGTAAATCACTGATTCAGTAGTATTAATATTCTACCTGTCTATGTGTGGGAGTTGGGTGTAGTAGAGATCTACAGTTTTATTGGTACAATGTCAGTTATTGAGATCGTGAGCCTCGCCTGTCTCTTTATTTTGCTCTTAATAATTTTTATCGTCGTTAAGAACCACTTAGTCTTGATGCAGCTGGGGCAGCAACGAGCGGAGCAGGACGGTGCCATACATGTTATACCGCATCAGAGAAGAGTTCTGGAGACAGAAGGAAACTACATCGGGACAGCGATTGGTATACAGCGTATGGCTGTGCAGCCAAGTACAATTTTCCATCAAAGAATCGCAAATCGCCCACTTCCTAGAGAAAATGATGAATAACTCATTTCAAAAAAGGTGAGAGAAATTAGTCAGTCAGTTTTACACTCCTTTTTTCCAATTTCCTGTGCTGCTCTTTCAAGCCACTCCTATGGCCAGTTTTTTCGATGTTGAAAATAAATTATTTTATTGCTCGATAAGCTGTTTACATTTTTAAATCACTGTATTGAAGTACGCAATCGAAAGCAAGCAGCAATAAACAGCAAACAAATAAAGAAGAGGCATCATGCAAAATATTTTAATTTCAATTAATATTTTAATTGTTGTCTTTTTCAGAGGTGACCTTTTTACATCATGTATCCGTTTTTAACACCGAATCATCATATCAGAGAGGGGAAAGAAATACAGTGATATTAGCATAAACAAGATTTTACTGCGCGTGACTGCTTTAATTGTCATCCATTCATGTTAATCAGGGTTCCAAGAACCGTCTCAGCTTGTATTCTTTGAGTTTTCAACATATTTCCATAATTATTAAGAGCTAATGTCAGCTTGTATCAGACAAGCAGGGGCAATTCACCCAAAATTCGCCTTCACTTCTACTTTCATATTTTGTAGCCCAATATGTCCCATTAATTGTGATGTAGTTTCTTTGTGAGGCGAACTCAAATTCCGGCAAAATTTATTTGCTAGCGACCACGAAATATACGTGGTGTGCCTACTTGTCGCCACCGTTTACTAGCATAAATCACTACAATTTTTAAAAAGAAATCTAGCATAACATTCTTACCTTGTTTATTTATGATTTCATTAGCCTTTTCGATGATCACGTGATGCTCTACCATCCAGTTTATATATCTTCTTCATCTTATTATATCAGTTGCATGACAAGCGTGACAAATATAAATTCAAAGATGAATCGACCTCCGAAATACCAAGAGATGGCGTCTCGTCAGACTTGGGTCCCGATTGGGAATTGGTCAATATGCTACCAAAAATATAGACAGAGGCAGAGTTTTCTATACTAATGTTTGAACACTTTGTTGGCTTCCCGCCGTCTGGCGGGACGCGTAATTATGCACACGGTGGTAAAGGGCCCTTTCGCACTAGCTGCTAAATGCTGACCAAATTTGTTTCTCTTCACCAAAAATCACATCAGAATTTGTCCTTGCTAAGTTAAAAGTATGCTGCACGTATCAGCATCTCCGGGGGACCCCTATACAAAACAGGGCGGGGGTGTGCACCGGGAATTTCGAAAACGACCCCAATAAAAGTAAAAAAATAAAATGAGTCTCATCCGTGTGGGAGCGGCAACAATTAATGTTTACCCCTAAAAAGTACCAGTTCAAACATAAAAAAATTGAAAAATCCCCAAAAATAAAAACTCCTTTATCGATGTGCTCTAGAGGCTCAAGTCAGATCATTAAAATCGTCTAAGTAATGCTTATTTCAGGTATCTTATTGAGCGAAAAACGCGAGTAGACAGGGTAAAAGGTAGATAAACATCCTCACCCACCAATTTTTTCGCCTTCCCCCGTCAGCACCTAAAGACAAAAAAAATGTAATTTGCCAACTACGAGCTGTCAATCTCACCTCGTAAAATTCACGTGAACTGGTTAATTACTTATTTGGTAGGGAATAAAATAACTGTACGTCTGCATTTGTTAAACAGACTATTCAAGAGTATCCAGAATTCGATGTGTGTACTTCTAGTACATTGAGTATTCTTTTGCAACATAGCCAAAGATCTTGCGATATCTCCTGTTCAAGCTTCTTTTCCTTTCAAAGAGGCATCAGAATTATTTTCATGTCAAATTTGCAGTAAACTGCTTGCGTGTCACCCTTTGTTTTCAAGGTGTCCGACCAGGTATGACTGAAAATGGCACCTCGCTTTGATAGGAATCCTTTTGTTGTTGCTTCTTACTTCCTGAAATTATCACTTGAAATTCGCTCGGTAGTACAAAAGCAAAAAAAAACAAAAACGTGAGTAATACATATAAATCCAAATTCTTTTATCACATGAAAGGTTGTGGGACCTGATCGCATTTAAGGGACGGACCCCCAAAAATATCGAGCACAGCCTTAAACGGAAGTGGACACATCGCGCAATTAGCAAAAGTCCCCCCTCCCCCCTCCCCCTCAAAAATCTAATGGTCCATCTCTAAGGTCCTTTTACATAAGTCCAAAATGAGTTTCGTTCTGAAACGAAAGAATTTCATATCGTGTTTACATGCAAGATAATTTAGCCTGTAAAAACAAGTATTTATGTCTTTTCTTGTATTTTTCTACGCTTCCCTCTCTCCTAAAGAGGATTCATACACGAATGTAAGAGATCCTCGCAGCTAAGAACACTACTGAAACGAGTAGTTGAAAATAGGACCTGAAAAAAATTTCAGGCCCGTACGGGATTTGAACCCATGACCTCTGCGATACCGGTGCAGCGCTTTACCAACTGGGAGCTGATCAATATGTTGGGTCCAAATATACCATCCAAGTGATGAATAATGATTTTAGATATACGAAATTCATATATTTGCACTGCGGTGAAGAAACGAATGTAAGAGATCCTCGCAGCTAAGAACACCACTATAAGTGTCGTACCGCGTTTATACTATACATGTACAAAAGGTCGTCCACAATGAGTGTTTCGTTCTGGAATGAAAACACCCAATAAACTCATTCAGAAATGACTTGTTTCGAAAGAATTTTACCCCGATATCATGTGGCAACCGGGATGAACTCGGTTTTGAACAAAACTCACTCCGATATCATGTAAAAGGTCCCTTAAAGTTTTTATTACCAGAGCATCACGCTTTGCTCTCCTTTCTGAATGCTATAAATTTCAATAGCGTTGAAGCAACAACCCGCCTTTAATTGCTTCACTGCCACTGAAACGATTCGTGACCACATAAAGCACATACTCTAATATTTTTAATTTAACATAAACAAAAATTTTTATAAAGGGTAAATATTTGTGTCGATATCGATTATTGCGTGACTAGCTTTTTTACAAATTGTAGTGATTTATGCCAGTAAACGGTGGCGACAAAGTAGGCACACCATGTATATTTCAGTCGCTAGCGAGTAAATTTTGCCGGACTTTGAGTTCGTCTCACGATAGAACAACACAAATACACAAGGAAATTTTTACAGCAACTTTATAACTATCCTTATGTCTTTAAAAAGCTAGAAGCTCAGTAGATTCTGTCATATCGGTCATTGTTGAAACTGTCTTTGTTTTGATGCTTCTTTTCGACATAGGAAAAGTATGTCGGACATAAATATTTACGAAAGAAATACCAGAGGTCAAGTAAATTCGTTACAAGAGGACACACAAATCGGGTAATATTTACGGTGAAAATTGCATATTTGAGCGGTCGAACGAAAAAATAATTTCTCGAAAACTAAAATATATTTTCACAAAAAATTACGCCACAATTATTAGAACGTATTGGGCTACAAAATATGAAAGTAGGAGAGAAAATTGTTTGATGGATGTCGACATCTTCTCTTAATAGTTTTGCGAAACACCTGAACGAAAATTCTAAGTTAAAAATCACTCATCCGCAGCTTGGAAGCTTAGCTTTAAACGAAAAAAATTCTCTAGGCTCAGAAAACGGTAGACAACGAAAATATCAAGGAAGGATGCTTACAAAGCATAAACCAAATTTGTAATGCGAATCTATAATCAGGGTAAATGAACAGTTATCAGCACGCCAATATTATCATACGGAACTTAACAAAGATGGGCAACCCCTGTATGGATTAAATAATAAATTATTGCAGATAAATTTCGTTAAAATTGTAAATGTTGATTATTGAGTTGATTAATAAGAATAATACTGCATGGATATTTGAACTGTAACGCTGTTTTCGGTTTATGTAAATCTCTACAGTCTGTTGTATTTATTGCGTTTTGTTTGATCTTAATGTGAGTCCAATCTACTGCCCCACGACGTTGTAAACTGAACATGAGCTTTTCAAATTGAGCCACCAGTTCCCTTACTCCATGAAAGGAAGTTTTATGCGAGTTCATCGGGCCCAAATGCCAAATTATTGCAGTACATATCTCCCTGACAATTTTAGAGGCAACTTGCCAACTCGCTCTTTACGGCGTTGAAAAATTGCTCCGCCGGCCACTCAAAAAGATCATCGGCAGAGTCACTGATGTTACTATCATTTCAAATTCTACAGTTGGACTGTATCCTCGCTGAACTTCCTAACTCCATGAACTGCAACGGTGCTGCATTCATTAAACGCAAATTCTTGTGCTTCAAATGACGTATCTTTCAACTCTCTTCGCTTCCCATTTTCTCTCTCCTTTCGGCATTGAAGTTGATGATCTATGAGCTTGTCCGACGGACGCAGTTCCTCGCATATTTCACATGGTAAAGCTATAAAACAAGTTACAAAAGCAAGTAAGGAAAAGTAAAACAAACAAAAAAATTTAAGACTTTATCAAACACATTTACATTATCTAAGCATTTTGCTCGTTCTGACAAATGTAAATATAGATTATCAAATAGGCCATTTTACAGTTGTGTGCTTAGTTGCCAAGCCTTTGATTTGGAGTGAGGCTGAAGGTGACCTTGTTGTGATAGAGACCAGTATCTAGTTAGCATGATAACAAAGTAATTTGCATTTGAAAAGTAGCAAGGTTTGTATCATAACAAGGTCACCCTTAGCCTCATTCCTGTTCAAAGGCTTGGCAACCAAACTCACAACTGTAAAATGGACTATTGACTGAAGTGTGGTTGAGATATCTAATCAATGATAATGGCTCTCAAATTAGAACTAAAGCCCTCCAGTAGCAGTTACAGATTACTGATAAGTTGCGAGGCAGAATGAGGAAAAAAAAAAAAAGAGGAAGAGATTCGAGAAAAAAAGCCAGACAAAGAAAACACTACCAGTAGACAAAATATACCATGAAGAAACGAAGTGCATAACGAAGATAAACATCAGCAATAAAAATTTGAATAAAAACATGAACGAGGAATGTAAGAGCAGCGAAAAAAACAACATAAATCTTACCGTTCAAAGCCTAGCGTGCATTATTTCTATTCATAATATCCTTACTTCTTATGTTGACGATTCCCGTTTTCAAAATAATCAAAAAATTCCTTTATAATGATTAATAACTATGTTAAGAATGAAAACATCAGTTTCACAATATCTTTATATGTGATCATTTGTCAGTGACGAAACTGCCAACTTCTAAAACTGCTTTAATGTTTGTTTTTTTTCTTTTGTTTGAACTGTCCCACGGTGAAAATTTCTCAGAATTGTCCGCTACCGCCTGGGGCGATCATTCTTATTAATCTCTTCTCGTTTGCTGCCACAACTGATTCGGCCTTTGCCTATAAACACAAACCCTGGTGTATCTGGAGGAGAGAGAGAGTTAATGAATAACTAAGAAGTCCTTTTTTTTTATTAAAAACAATATTTAATCTCCTTCCTGGGCTTTTCTTTAAAGGCTTGTTTCAATTTTGCCGCAGGAACGTCAATATAGTACCTCTCAGAAAGGTCGGGGTTTTTACTTTGACGAAAACAAAAGTCATAAATATTAAATAAGGTTCAGTTAAGTTGCCATCGCCGGAAGTCGGTTCATGAATTTGTAAGAAGTTCAGTTTTAATCAAAATACATTTTACCCCCTGCAGGGCTCATCTTTAGAAGTTTGTTCCAATTCATGGATATTAAGCCACCTAACGCTGCTTTCTGTACTATCAAACTCATCCACATGGTAAGAAACATGCAAGCACCAGGGAATCAAGGAACTACTACGCAACCCACATTAACCATTCGTGAATAGAATGCCTTAGGAACAGCCAGGGAACTCACTCTTCGTCTTAGCGGAGCCGTGGAAAGGACGGAACAACACGGAAATACAACCGCCGGTGGTGTAACTGCAAGAAGACGACATCCACAAGAACACGACGAGCGTTTTTCGTAAAAAAGTAAGACAATTGAATGCCTTTTTTTTAATTTTTTGTCATCGTACTTTCTATCATATTCCTCTTCTTTTATATCTGCATTTGTTTTAGCGGACGCGGGGATGCCTCTTATAACCACTTTTACGGTTGGGAACAAAAACAAATCTCTTCTTGGTTACGCGCTAAGTGTGTGTGCTAAACAGAATAACTGAAAGCGCATTTAAACAATTCAGCACCCGACGGCCTCAGTGCAACAATAGGACATAAGAGGATTTTTTAGCTTTTTAAAATCTGAAAGACTGGAAAATGCATTGTAGCATTTTAAAAAAATTTTACTCTTTCTCTCACCAGATAATTTTAAGCAGCTACTCCGTTCCTGTGCGTGAGGTCATTAGTCTGACGGTAAGAAAAAAAATTATACCTGTACTCGAATTTATGGTACACAAACACGGGTTAAATTTGCATATTTCAGCTTTTGCATAATCAGTTTTGTCAGTCAAGTTCACGACCACATATTCCTCATCATTTCAAATGGCCATCGTCCATCATCCAGGTCGCAGAAAATGTTTGCCATGAGATCGTAAGGGGCTCCTTCCATTGTAAAATTCGCAAAAGTGAAGGGGTCATCTTCTCTCCCGTTGTCCAACGGATTCTGATGAAACCTCTAGAACAACAAGCGAGGTCGATCGCTTCTGTGCAAAGGTTCTTCGTTTTCAGAGGCTGAACCAGAACCCTGAACGCCTTCTCCCTCTCGGATACATTGTTCCTGGTGTTCCATCAATTTATCAGATGGACACAGTTCGCCACAGATTTCACAAGGCAGAGCAACAATGCTGTTGTCTTCACTTTCGGTTTCGATATTGTCATGCGAGTTCGAGCTTGTGAAATTGTCAGGCCTTCGTAACATTTCACGAAACGCACCGTCCCTATCTTCTACAACGAGAGGGATTTGAGAATCTTCTGTTTCCTCTAGACACTGGCATTCACGTTGATGAGCATCAAGTGCATCTTGCTGAATCAGCGATCCACAGAATTCACAAGGCAAAGACACAGGCAAATCGTGTTGCTGATTGTTCATTCCCCGTCGCATGCGCTATCATGGTCCATAAAGTTTCTAATCAAGACATATCGACTACACTTTTGGCAGAATTCCGTTCTGGTTCCGCATAATTCCTGGTGCTCTGACATTCTTTCTCTGAGAAGCCTCAGTTCACAGTAATAGCAATTAATTGGTCGCTTTCCACACTCGTAAGCCAAATGATTGCCTTCTTCACTTCTGGTTGTTTTTTGTCCGCACTGAACACAGTTTATTTCCGCATGATTCTCCTCGAAGTGTTCTCTCTCTTTGCTTCTTTGTATCGCTTCTCCGCACAACGAACACAATTTGAGGTTTCTTTTGCAGTGTACAAAGTGCATTTCGTAATTTTCTGAGGAAACTCGTCTGTTGCAGTTTTCACAAATTAATCCTTCGTTGTCCATGTTTGTGACGACGCTTTTTCTTGAATTTCCTTTCTTTTATCGATGGACGGCCGCTCGATTTCAGTCTGATTAGAATGAAACTGCTAGATCATTGTTTGGGCAGTCGTGTTTATATTGTATATATTTCCCCTAAATTTAGGTTTTCTAGAAAGTTTTCTAAATTTGCTTTATCGCTGAATTAGCACCCTTTCGTAATCTCCGAAAATTTCTTAACTTATAGTACCCAGTCTTCCCGCTCCTCTAAACAACATCCGGTGTACTAGTAATAATGGAAGGAACAATTTAAAATCGTGAGGAAGATTCGACATATTTCTTAACGATACTTGACCAGCAATAAACATGACACTGGCATGGTGGAAGGAGCTGTCCTGTCACCGTGGTGGATTAATCAACCTCGTTCTTTGGGTATTGTTTATCAATGATCGAATATTGGACTTCAATCAGTCACTCTAGCGTGAGTAATATGCACATAACGCGCATATGCGCTCGCTATGGCTCTATGACATACACACTAGCTTTAAGGCACACACGCTGGCTTTATATATATCGGCCCTTTAGAGGAAACTGGTAATCTCAACCATGATGAGCACGTTGACATTCATGAAAATAGGTTTCGAAAAACCATGTATTTATTGCGTGTTGTTTGATCTTAATGTGAGTCCCACCGACTGCCCCACGACATTGTAAACTGAACATGAGCTTTTCAAATTGAGCCACCAGTTCTCTTACTCCATGAAAGGAAGTTTTATGCGAGTTCACCGGGCCCAAATGCCAAATTATTGCAGTACATACCTCCCTGAAAATTTTAGAGGCAACTTGCCAACTCGCTCTTTACGGCGTAGAAAAATTGCTCCGCCGGCCACTCAAGGAGATTATCGGCGGAGTCATTGGTGTTACTATCATTTCAAATTCTACAGTTGGACTGTATCCTTGCTGAACTTCCTAACTCCATGAACTGCACCGGTGCTGCATTCATTAAACGCAAATTCTTGTGCTTCCAGTAAAGTATCTTTCGACTCTCTTCGTTTCGCATTTTCTCTCTCCTTTTGACATTGAAGTTGATGATCTATTAGCTTGTCCGACGGAAACAGTTCCTCGCATATTTAACATGGTAAAGCTATAAAACAAGTTACAAAAGCGAGTAAGGAAAAGTAAAACAATAAAAAAAAATTTAAGACTTTATCAAACACATTTGCATTATCTAAGCATTTTGCTCGTTCTGACAAATTCAAGGCTAGATTATCATATTGAGTGAAGTGTGGTTGAGATATCTATTCAATGATAATGACTCTCAAATTAGAACTAAAGCCCTCCAGTAGCAGTTACAGATTACTGATAAGCTGTGAGGCAGAATGAGGAACAAAACCAGTAGACAAAAATATACCATAAAGAAACGAAGGGCATGATGAACATAAACATCAGCAATAGAAATTTGAATAAAAACATGAACAAGGATAGTAAGAGCAGCGAAAAAAACAACATGAATTTTATCGTTTAAAGCCTGGCGTGCATGATTTCTATTCATAATATTCTTAGTTCTTATGCTGACGATTCTCGTTTTCAAAGCAATCAAAAAATTCCTTCTCTAAACAACTTCCGGTGTACTAGTAATAATGGAAGGAACAATTTAAAATCGTGAGGAAGATTCGACATATTTCTTAACGATACTTGACCAGCAATAAACATGACACAGGCATGGTCGAAGGACGCTGTCCTGTCACCATGGTGGATTAATCAACCTCGTTCCTTGGGTATTGTTTATCAATGATCGAATATTGGACTTCAATCAGTCACTCTAGCGTGAGAAATATGCACATAACGCGCATATGCGCTCGTTATGGCTCTATGACATAGTAGCTTTAAGGCACACACACTGGCTTTAAGGCACACACGCTGGCTTTATATCGGCCCTTTAGAGGAAACTGGTAATCTCAACCATGATGAGCACGTTGACATTCATGAAAATAGGTTTCCAAAACCACGCGTAGAGGCAGATATCGACAACATTTGATTAGGTCCGTGTCTATAAACACAAACCCTAGAACATCTGGAGGAGAAAAGTTTATGAATTACTAAGAATTCTATTTTTCATTCAAAATATATTTTTTCCTTGCTGGGCTCTTCTTTAGAGACTTGTTTCAATTTTGCCGCAGGAACTGAACTGTCATGGAGACTGAGCCATTTAACGCTGCTTGCTTCATCTTGATGGTTGTGATAACGTGCTGTATTATCAAACTCCTCCACATGGTGAGAAACATGCAGGCACCAAGAAATCCAGAAGTTGTCACGGAACTCACCAGAACGAATCATGATCAGAGTGTCCCAGAAATAGCCAGGGAACCCGCTGCTCGTCGTAGCAGAGCTGTGGAAAGAACGGAACAACACGGAAATACAACTCCCAGTTGTTTAACAGCAAGAAGGCGACATCCACAAGAACACGACGAGCGTTTTTCGTAACAACGTAAGACAATTGTTTGATAATGCCTTCTAATTTTTTGTCGTGGTACTTCTATCACTTTTTTCATGTACGTCTATGACGTCATATTTTCCGAAGTGAAAAACGACACTTCTGCAGGACCACAACAACAAACTTTGTTTTTCTGATCGAGTGAGTGATGATTGACTGGTGTGTTAGAAAACGAGAAACTGCCTGGCAACAAATCTTCAATAGCTAGCTTTAGTGAGCAAGCTCTCTAGTTACTGATAACGATCCTGCGGAATGTGCAATTTTCGTCATTTCTATATTACGGGGTACGTCATAAAATTTTAAGAAATATGTGGGCATTTGTGGTCATTCAAAATTAGAATAGTTGTAATGCACACCCTTTTTGAGGAGCCATTAACGAAATTATCTGTTGGGCTCCAGATTTTTGTCTACTTTTGTCATGGAATGTAGCTCGGTTGGAAATGATTCATTCTGAATACTACCGTGATTTTACAAAATAAGTAAGCTATCGACCTGTTGTTTATTGAAACCCATAGAATAAACCACACTTTCTGTCGTTTTACAGGCTTTACAGACTTTTCTCGTGTTCTCCAGCATCCCGCGTGGGTTATTACGCTGATTTGATGATGGATAGTACTATTGATTGCTCAAGTCGTCGTAGAGTTTTTTTTAATGCTGATGGATTTAATTTGTATTAATTAAGCAACTGAAAAGTAAAAATAAACTTAAAAATCAAAAAAAATGTTGATTACGTCTTCTGGGGTTTATTTCTTTAATGCCTCTTACAGTAACTACAAACACAGAAGCGGTGACCGCGTTAAGGTTTGATCTTTACCGCGTTTATTCAAATACAACCAAGCAATAGTACTCAGTTTAATATTTTGGAAACACCGAAACCCAACTCAAACAAATTTTCGGTTTTAAAAGGGAAACAGAATAACTAGCTGTATTGAAAAGGTTCGAGTTACAATGTTTTCTATCTTGACTAACTTTTAAAAAACACGGTGCGAAAAAAAAAAATTATACCTGCACTCGAACTTGTGATAGACGAACACGAGTTAAATTTGCATATTTCAGCTCTTGCATAATCAGTTTTCTCAGTCAGGCAAGGCTGTGTTAGTTGATTCATCGTCTGAAGTTAATTTCTTCGTGCTTCTGACAATCAGTACGAGTAAAATAAGCTTAAAGCAGCAACAAACGCAGCCGTGTCCGTTCGCTATGACGTGTACTCACAAGGTTTACTCTGCGTTAGATTTCGTCACCGGTGGATTTGCGTCCTCTCCGTAACAGACAATAGTTTTTAGCTTTCATGCATAGTTGATTTTGCTTTCAATTTGTTTTCCTTGCTCTTCTTTTCATAGTAGGAGTCACGCAACGTCGAGGGATGTGCATGTCACAAGTCAGATTTATAAATAAGTAATAAGTTCAATTTTTATCAAAATACATTTTATCCCTTGCTGGGCTCATCTTTAGAAGTTTGTTCCAATTCATGGATACTGAGCCACTCAATGCTGTTTGCTTCATCTTGATGGTTGTGGTAACGTGCTGTGTTATCAAACTCCACCACATGGTAAGAAACATGCAGGCACCAGGGAATCAGGGAGCTGTTACGGAACCCACAAGATCCATTCATGATCAGAATGCCTTAGAAACAGCCAGGGAACCCACTCTTCGTCGTAGCGGAGCCGTGGAAAGGACGGAACAACACGGAAATACAACCGCCAGCGATGTAACTGCAAGAAGACGACATCCACAAAAACATGACTAGCGTTTTTCGTAAAAAAGTAAAACAATTGCATGGCTTTTTTTTATTTTTTGTCATCGTACTTTCTATCATATTCCTCTTCTCTTATATCTGCACTTGTTTTCGTGGACGCGGGGATGCCTCTTATAACCACTTTTACGGTTTGGAATAAAAACAAATCTCTTGTTGGTTACGCGTTAAATGTGTGTGCTATACAGAATAACTGAAAGCGCATTTAAACAATCCAGCATCCGACGGCCTCAGTGCAACAATTGGACATAAGAAGATTTTTAGCTTTTTTAAAACGTGAAAGACTGGAAAAGTACATTGTGGCATTTTAAACAAACTTTACTCTTTCTCTCACCAGATAATTTTAAGCAGCTACTCCGTTCCTATGCGTGAAGTCTTTATCCTGAGTATAAAACAACCCTATTGTGGGACCACGACAACAAACTTTGTCTTTTTGATTGAGTGAGTGCACTGATTTGATAGAAAATTAGAAACTACCTGGCAACAAGTCTTAAATAGTTCTAGCTTTAGTGAGTAAACTCTCTAGTTACCGGTAACAATTCTTCCTAAAACATTTAGGAAACATGTAGACAACTGCGGTCATTCAAATTTAGATTAGTTGTAATGCGCACCTTTTTTGACGAGCCCATTAACGACATTATCTGATGCTCCAGAGTTTTTGTTTACTTTTGTCATGGAATGTAGCTCGCTTGGAAATGATTAATTCTGGAATACTACATTTTACAAAATAACTGAACTAGCGACCTACAGACTTTACAGACTTTTCTCGTGTTCTCCAAACATCCCGCGTGGGTTATTACGCTGATTAGTTGATGGGTAGTGCTATTTATATTGCTCAAATTGTCGTATAGTTGTTTTAATATCAATGTATTTAATTTGTATTAACTAAGCACCTGAAGGTGGCTGGGGTTAATTTCTTTAACGCCTCTTACAGTAACTACAAACACAAAAGCGGTGAGCGCGTTGAGGTTTGATCTTTACCGCTTTTATTCAATGTAACCAAGTAATATTACTTAGTTTAATGTTTTGGAAACACCGAAATCCACCTAGCACAAATTTTCGGTTTTAAAAGGAAAGTATAATCACTAGCTGTATTGAAAAGGTTCGAGATACAATGTTTTCTATTTTGACTATTTTGTTTTCAAAAACACGGTAAGAAAAAAAATTATACCTGCACTCGAACTTGGGATACACAAACACGGGTTAAATTTGCATATTTCAGCTCTTGCGTAAAAAAGGTTTGGCAGTCAAGTTCACGACCACATATGCCTCATCATTTCAAATAGCCATCGCGATCTCCCAGGTCGCAGATAATGTTTGCCATGAGATCGTAAGGGGCTCCTTCCATCGTAAAATTCGGAAAAGTGAAGGGGTCATCTTCTCTACCGTTGTTTAACTGATCCTGATGTAATCTCCAGAACCGGAAGTAAGTAAGATCGCTCGTGTGCAAACGTTCTTTCCGGAAGCTGATCCAGAACCCTGAAGGCCTTCTCTCTCTTGGATACATTGTTCCTGGTGTTCCATCAATTTATCATATGGACACAGCCCGCCAAAGATTTCACAGGCAGAGCAACGATGCTGTTGTCTTCACTTTCGGTTTCGATATTGTCACGCGAGTTCGAGCTTGTGAAATTGTCAGGACCACAACAGGAGAGATTTGAAAATCTTCTGTTTCCTCCAACGCTGGCATTCCCGTTGATGAGCATCAAGCGAGGAAATCGCAAATCTAAATTCTTTCATTTCGTAATTGCTATTCTTAATGCTTCGATATGATCGTTAGTTCAAGAAGCCCACGGGGAATAATATGTGGTCATCATAATTTTGGAATTAAGATTAATAAAGACGAAATGAATACGTTACCTTTTGTTTGACGTTAACCAGGCATGAATGTCGCCAAAAAATTGCCCTCTTCATATTGATAACAAGGTTCTCGTTGATCTGTGGCAATAAATAAATAAATAAATGGATGAAAGAATTGTAAAAAGGTGTTAAACATCACGAGCAAATAGAAAACAATTTTTTGAAAAAGGAGAAGCTGTGAAGCAGAATGAGGGAAAAAAAAGAGGAAGAGTACGAGAAAAAAAAGGCCGGACAAAGAAAAAACCACATCAACAAGTGGACAAAAATATACCATAAAGAAACGAAATGCAAGATGAATATACACATCAACAGTAAGAAATTAGAAGAAAAACAAAAAAACGAGGAATGTAGGAGCAGCGAAATAAAAACAACAACATGAATTTTATCTTTCAAAGCCTAGCGTGCATGATTTCTATTCATAATATTCTTACTTCTTATGCTAACGATTTCTATTTTCTATTTTCAAAATAATCAAAAGATACCTTTATAATGATTAAAGACTATGATAAGAATGAAACTATTTCACATTAGCTTTATATGTGATCATTTGACTACAACGAAACTGCAAATATCACGTCGTAACTTCTGGAACTATTTTGATGTTTGTTTGTTTGAAGTGTCGTGCTACGGTGTAAGACTTGTCTGCTGCCCCAGGGGGTTATCATTCTCATTAATTCGTTCTCCTCGGTCTGTTTGCTACCACAACTCGCTCGGCCTTTTCCTATAAACACAAACCCTAGTGTATCTGAAGGAGCGTCAGTTAATGAATAAGTAAGTTCTACTTTTTGCTAAAAAAAACATTTAATTTCCTTGCTGGGCTCTTCTTTAGAGGATGTTATCAATTTTGCCGCAGGAACTGAACCGTCATGGAGACTGAGCCACTTGATGCTGCTTGCTTCATCTGGATGATTGTGGTAACGTGCTGTATCATCAAACTCCTCTACATGGTAAGAAACATGCAGCCACCAGGGAATCAAAGAGCTCTTACGGAACCCAACACAACCATTCATCATCAGAATGCCCTAGGAACAGCCAGGGAACCTTATCCTCGTCGTAACGGTGCCATGGAAAGGATGGAACAACACGGAAATATAACC